CTCTCTCTCTCTCTCTCTCTCTCTCTCTCTGTCACACACACACACACACACACACACACACGCACGCACTCCCTGTTTCTTTCTTAATCATTCTGTTCGTTGTTCCACTTGCTCACGGGTTTTTCCTCTTTCTTTCTTCTCTTCTTTGATGCTCTGTTTCTTGGGGTTCTCTGTTTTGGACTACTAGTGGTGGCGGTGGCTATCTGTTTCTTTCTTGGCGGTGGTGTCGGTCTTTTGCAGATAAAGCGTCTTGCCTTTGGTCGAGGAAGAGAGGATGACGGACACCACCGACGACATTGCGGAGGAGATCTGTTTCCAGGCCTTCGAGGACGATTGCCGCCTCCTCGACAACCTCCTCCACGACGTCCTCCACCGGGAGGTCGGCCCCCGGTTCATGGAGAACATCGAGCGGAAGCGGGTCCTCGCCCAGGTCTGTCTTCAATAAGCCCTCGTCCGCTTCGCATTTCCTCCTCTCTTTCGATCCGATCTTGATGCGGGTCTCCTTTTGTCGTTGGGAATGCGTGGTGGTTGGTCTCGGATCCTACTTTCTTTGACCTTCCCGAGCGATTCTTGATTCTTTTCTTCTTGGTTTTCTTGATTTTCTTTACCGATCTTTTCTTTTTTCTTGTTTTCATTGTCAAAATTATATACTCAACTCTACAAACAAACTTCGTTTGTTTAGATGAGATGTTCTTGTGAACACTCAACGATTGGTTTAAGATATTCTTGAACTACGAAAGCAGCAACAAAAACAACAACAAAAAACATTTGACAAGGTTTTCTCGATTGGTTCTCCTCTTTTTATCGGTTTCGTTATTTATTTTTGACTGTCTCGTTGGTTGGGATAGTCTGCAGTTAATATGAGGTCGGCGGGGATGGAGGGGATGGCGGAGTTGCTCGAGAAGCAACTCGCGACCGACATCTCGAATATGACCCTTGAGGATGCGTTGTCGCTTGCCCGCGCTTTTAGCCATTACCTCAACCTCATGGGTATCGCAGAAACCCATCACAGGTGCTTCCTTCCAACACCTCTTCGACCTATTATCTTTACATGATTCCCTCTCTATATGATGCTGCTCCTCGAATTATTTAGTCATTAGTATATTTTTTTCTTTTTATTTGTCCCTATGTCATTTGGCTTCACTGGCAATTATCTGTCGGCAACCATTAATGTGCTGCTGAGATCATTGTCGCTGTTTGTAGACTTTCATGGGAAAATCTATTAATGGATGAGTTGGCCTCTTGGAACTAGATCACCGTTTATTCCTTTCAGTCAAAGGATTGAAAATGTCCCTTCTTCTATTTCGTTTTAGGGGAACTACAACTGCTAAAGCAGAAACATTGTTTTTGTTACTTCTTTCTTATGTTCTACAAAAGATAATTGTTGACATATATTATGTGGTCTTAATGATTTTATCTTTTGTATACATCTTATTAAGCATGTAATACATGCCGTTTTTATATAATCTACTTTGATGTTGTTATTATGATAGAGCAGCTTTGTAGCTGTCTATAATTCTTTGCTGGCAATCTACTAGATTCTATTCCCTATAAACATATGTGAAGATGGTCTCTTTTCGTTCAAAGTGAGACACCAAATCGGTGAATGTGAATCATGACTAACTTATGTTATACTTCAACATGTCAAAATGATCCAATTTCTCATGTAGGGTTCGCAAGGCACGCACTGTTGCACATTTATCAAAATCATGTGATGACACATTCACTAAGTTGATACAGAGTGGTATTTCCCCAGAAGAACTATATGACACTTTCTGCAAGCAGGTTTGTACTCTTATGATACTGCTGGTGTTGTCTTAGTCAGTATATAAATGTGCTTGTTGCTTCAGGAGGTTGAAATAGTATTGACTGCACATCCCACCCAAATAAACAGGCGTACTCTGCAATACAAACATATCAGAATAGCGGTGAGCTCTCCAATCTCCATTGTGAATATTTTATTCCACTTCTGAATGATCAACTAGTTATCTTACTTTCAGTTTCTGTGCTTTTTATGGACTTATGAATGTGTTGTTTCAACTTTCAATATTCATCCTAACTAGATATTATGATTTCCTAGCAAACTACAAATCTTTCACAAGGTGTTAGGAAAAATAAGGTCTCATATTTTTCTTTAAAGCATTTCACTGGGTTCTACAATTGAAGCATGATAAGAGGGAGTTGCATATAGGGTTTAGCATATACATAGTAATATCTGGTACCATGTTACCCGAAGCACATCTGGTGATCTCTCCTGCCAAGGGACTTCTCTCTTTTTTTTTTTCACTGTATTTTCCTATATTTTCTAACTCAGTCTCCTTAAGGTTGATATCAGTTGGTTTAGTGCTAAGCAAAAGTTGTTAACTATTTGTATTCATTTTCTTTTTGTGAGGAGTCACTATTTTGATGACCTTTCATTTTTCACATTTACAATATTTGGGCCTTATATTTGTTTTCCTAAAGTTTTAGTTTTCAAAGATGTAGGATGATCTCAGCCCACAAAAAAGGTTATGTTTGATACTTTATAATGGTTATACACTCCATACTTCTCTTTGTGTTCTTCACTCTTACATGATGTGTCAGCTAGCTGGCAGAGAACAATAAGGTCAATTCAATTCATGGAAAAAATAATAAAAGAAAATAAAGCATCAGTCTCCCTCCTTTGTCTCGCATTAAGTAGATGTATTACAATCTTTAGTCACTGATGGGGGATTTACCTGGTAAGGATAATTTTTGTGATCTAGCTGTTGCAATAAATATCTTTAATGTTTGTTGTAGTACTTTTATTTGCACCAGCAATTTCCATATATGCTTGAAGTACATTATATTTCTCAACAATTTGACTGTCTGTGTAAATTGCAAATGTGCTTTACATCCATTATTATGTTAAATTCTGTGTAGATTTACTAACTGCCTAGGAATTTAGATATTCTGCTTTAAATTACCTTTTTGAATTGCATTCACCAAATAATTATAGGCATATGTTTTTTAAAACTTCTAGTGCATTAAATAGCGTACAAGTGCAACAATTGACTAACAACTACGATGTCTCGACAGAGACTACAGGGATATGTTATTGGCATCTCAACGTCACTTCATTTGTCCTTTCTGTGAGATACAAATTTCATGTCTCTCAACCATAGTTACTGGTTCCCTCTACCTAAATCACGATGACTATGCATCCAGATTATTGTGTATGCAATATAGAAACCCCCAGTGGGGTTCTAATCTCATCGGTGCCATTCAATCTCATAGATATAAACCAACCAAAGACAAATAACATCTGTAGTAATTTCTACCTTAAAATTCTTCAAGAAAAGGTCAAAAAACAAAGCACTGTTCATTAAAGGAAGAAGGAAAACCAAAGAGTTCATGAGTTATAGATCTTTTGCTACAGTGCATCGATCCAATTAGTAAGACAAACACATATTGTCAATTATATTTAGGAGCCTAAATAGGTGGTTCATTGTGTACCACAATCCAGAAAAGCCAAGCTTATCCTTACCCTCATGTACCATGAACCTGATTAGGTGGCACCTAAGCAGTTGCACCCATGCCTTGCTCGTGAAGTTCTATGTTCTAATAAATTATCCTTACTACTCACTTTGTTAACCCTTAGTTTAATGATAGAGTATGTGGTTGTTCTAGATAAATGTATATTGGGGATGTTTAAATGAAGTTCTGACTAGACAATGTTTTAGGCAAGGATCACTGAATTTCAATCGGGATACAATTTTTCTATGTACCACTTTAATTATTTTTTTTCTCCAGTACACTCCTAGATGTGATCATGCGTTCAGGTAATTAAGGTGGATTAGTGTATTTCATGTGTCAAAAAGGTAACATGAATACTGTTTCTAGGATGCCAAAGTCATGTCTCTTGGTTTCTACGTCCAGTACATGTTCTTTTGTTCTTTCATTGAATTTGCTACCCAGTCATGCTTTGTTGGCTTGTGATATGTTAGTGTATGTTAGCATCATTGCAGCAAGAATGCAATTGAAAATTTGAAACCACCAATTAGGTCATTGGAAAAAATTGCAACACAAAGTTCCAAACACTGTATCATCAAGCTTGTGAAAGATAACTATTTCTGTATAAATTTAAGAATTGATGGTAAATGCATTTTATCAAGTTTGTGCTTGTTGGCTCATGAAACATAATGAATAAGCTAAATTTCAAGCAAAAGTTGGCTTTGGTCCTAAGATGTGCTTTATGGATGCAACACATGGACAATAAATAAAGATATAATACAACAAATATAACATGGGGATAACATAACTTTTTCATGTTAGTACTACGAGTTCATGCTCTTTCGGGGAGTCAGGTTTTCGTTTGTAGTATATGTATGGAAGTTGCTAGTGTTTTTTTGGTGCAATAGTTATTTCTTTCCATTTGTAGCATCAACTCGTTTGTGATGTTCTAAACAGAATTTGACCAATGTTGCAGCACCTTCTGGAGTTTAATGACAGACCTGATCTTAGCCTTGAAGATAAAGAACTACTGATAGAAGACCTGGTACTTTTTCGTTCAGTCTTTTAAATTGGTAACTTCATTGTGTTCATATTGTCATCTAAACTCTTGTCCCTTTAGGTTCGCGAGATCACCTCATTATGGCAGACAGATGAATTGAGGCGCCATAAACCTACTCCAGTTGATGAAGCTAGAGCTGGTATAGTTCTGTGCTTATATAGAGGTGTAATTCCTCATTACGTTGTTTAATAGTTTACTTGCTCATCCTGTAGGTCTTCACATTGTTGAGCAATCACTTTGGAAAGCCATACCTCATTATTTACGTCGTGTCAGCACTGCTCTGAAAAAGGTCCCATTTCTTTCTGTTATATTTCCTGATTAGATTCAAAAAGATATGAAAATCTGGTTCATGTTCCGACATTTTAATTTTCTATTTGTAGCATACTGGTAGGCCACTTCCACTAACCTGCACACCAATAAAATTTGGCTCTTGGATGGGCGGTGATCGAGATGGAAATCCAAATGTTACAGCAAAAGTAAGTTTTTTTATGATCAGTTTGCATTTAATTATATGAAGTTTTAACTCGAACAATCTGACATTTATTTGTTTTTATTGCTACTGAGATTGATGTCAGCAGTTCAGTGGGTTTTTTATTTCCACTGTACAACTGATGTTCACTCTAGATTTTGGATTGGCTGCAATAAAAGGTTGTTTGCACTCTTTGCAGAGCACCAATAAAAGGTTTTTTATTGGTCTTTCACATCACCAACAATGGGTTTATAGAAAAATCATGTTATGGATGTGCTGTGTTATGCCATGCCTAGCAGTACTAACACATGATTAAGCTAGCTTTTGGCTTGCATGGGATTCTCATGGAGTAGATTTGCCTTGCTAATCTGTGTGGGGTCAGCTTTGCCTTGCTAGTCCATGCAGCACTTTTCTTCATTTACACCTGACAAAAGAAATCAGCTTGATTGAATTTGCAAAAGAGTAAATTGACTTGGCAATTATTGGAGACGCATATAATTTGAAATAAATGAGAGACTACATTGCGGTAAATGGATGCCACCACTGACCGTGGTATCACAAGGGTCTTATGGATAGGAAAAGGAAAAAATAATATAAAAATATTGTTCGGGAGCAAAATGGTCCACTTAACCCTTAATGGTCACCTCCTAGGTACTACTCGGAGGAATGGCCCCTTGTGCCACCTTGGGAGTTCCAAGGTGTTGACATGATGGAATTTTCATCATTTTGAATTTGTCAGTCCCATGTCAGTTTCTATCCTATGGAATGGATTCGACAAAATAGCCCATGTGACCTAAACTACACAAGATTTGTACATATTTTTACATGTTTGTTTGGTATCATTTATATTTGTAAACCATTAATTCATCTGACTGAGGGTCCCTAAAAGGCTAGCACAACATAATGATGCTATGTTGTTCTATAAAGGTATAATGAGGTGGTGCCACAAAACACTAACCTTGCTTGAAAGGACCATAATTGACAAGTTTTGTTATAAAATAACTAGGATAAACACACACATGCTAGTGGTTGACTCTGAAATATGATAATAGTATTATAATTTATTCTATTACCAGTCATATTAATAGAAAAAGAGGGTCAATGTAAAGTAAGATTGCTCCTTTACAACCAAGGTGACAATCATTTGGGTCAGAATAGTCTTTTTGCTCGTATATTGTTATACTTATACAAGTACTTTTTTGTAATACATTTTGCATATCTTTTATCAATCATATAAATTTTTATTTGTTAATCCAGTGTCTAATGGAGATTTTTCTCATCTATCTATTGCTATAATTCTAGAATCTAGAAGCATGGTTCGCCCATTTTGGGTACCAGACCCGTCTCGACAATCTGTCGGATTGGTACGTACTAGCTAGTACCAGTCTACCAAAACATGGTATGTTGGTGCGTACCGATGTTTTGACAAGGAAGAAAAAGAGGGTGAAGAGGAAGGGCCAGTGGAGGAACAAAGGAGGAAGAAGAAAGAAGAGGAAGTGATAGAGGAGGAAGAAGAAGTAGAAAGAATATGAAGAAAGAAGAGGAGGAGAAGAAGCAGTGGCAAAGTGGAAGTGACAGCGGTGAGGGCAAGGGCATCGTATGCGAGAAGAGAGCTCACGTTCGCAAGCCCTAATTGTGTTTTTCTTTTTTAATGCTGAGTTGGACAAGTGTCCACTTATTTATTTATTTATTATTTTAACCAGACTGCCCGAAATGGGTGTTGTCCGCATATCGACCCATGCCCGAACCGGTATATACCGCCCGTACCATATCGTTTCAGACAGTACAGCAGTCCTTGTCTATAAGTATCCTTGTGTTCCAAAAGATGTGGGTGTATTGTTTTGAACCATTCAAATGATTATGGTGTTTAAGCCAAATCTTAATCAAATAAATGCTTTTCTTTACCTTTATAACCTCCATGTTGTTCCCTTTTGTCCTTGGTAAGATACGCCTATAGGGTTTATTACTGTTCCTTTCCTCAACCACTTGAGACTTTATTGCTCTGATGTTTGTATTACTGCTTACTTAAGTGGCTTACTATTGCTATCAATTCTATAAGAGAATTGCTTTTCTGGAATGCTTTGAAATTAGTTTTCTGGAACTAATTATACTGCATAATTTTTTAATTTAACAATTGTTTATAAACTTAAGATTAGCATTTAGTTAGGTCACTGGAAAAGTTTTTTTGTTACATTTTACTCAATGTTATTAGATTTTAATTTGGAGTTTCTAGGTGACCACAATGGGAAACATTACTGATGCTGAGTTAAATAAATATGGGCATCTCAAAAGAAATGGTCAATGGTGTAGAATTGAAATTTTCTGAGAACTTAATTGTTCTGAATTCTTCCATTCTTTTGTTCTTTACCATGACAAAAATTTTCTTTGTCCTACCAAGTTTATAATTGTTGTTTATCAAAGATACTTTCTTTTTACATATAGCTAAAGGGCTCTAATATGCTTGCCACAGGTTACCAGAGATGTTTCTTTGTTATCACGGTGGATGGCATTTGATCTCTACATTCGAGAGGTTGATAATCTTAGATTTGAGTTGTCTATGATTAGATGCAGTGATAAGTTGGCAAGATTGGCACATGAAATCTTACTCAAAGGTTTGTTTATTTAAGATCATCAATGTGCTTTTGCTATCATGCTTCTGCTAGATTTAGGAGACCATGAAGTGATGGAAAGTCAACTTAGTTGGTATAGTATGCACAGTAATCTCAAGATAAATGATTCTCTAATTCCATGGATTATCTTTTAGTAAGGGATCTATTTTAATATTGAAAGAGTTGATCTTGTACTACATTTTGGATGATTTGACCTTCATAAAGCTGTTTAGCAATTCAAAATTGAGCCACCCCATAGTTCAGGACTCCAAGATTACACGAAAATGCTATACTTCATAGAGTATAAAAATTATCAGCTGCCATATTTTCCTTGCTTTGATTTATGTATTTATGATTGCTGATTTGAAATATCAGATTTTTACATACAAGTATTAGAATAATATACTAGAAATACTTTCAGCGCACATAGACATTCAGTTTCATGTTGATTTTGTGTCGATCCTTTGCACATTCAGTTTCATGTCTAGTAAATGAAATAAAAAAATGGTAAAGAATTTGAATTTCTGAGCTCTTGTCAAATCCTTATTTTCTCTGTTCTTTTTTCACTATAGAGGAACCTCAAAAATAACTATCTCTGGTTGCCTAAACATAACTAGAACCAATAACGAGTTTGTATGTAAACTTTCTTTTCTTAAACAAGTATATCCTTTTCCTAAATTTCACTTATCTTTTGGTAACAACTTAATGACTGATATAAGATTGAATACTGGTCACTCTATGTTCTCAAATTTCAGTCTTCTCAATCTTTAGTGATGCCTTATAGTTTATGGTCCATCCCAGGAAGATGACCAATCTCTTACAGAACATAGTAGATTGTGATGTGCATAACATGGAAGAAAAATATAAGAAGTAACAATTGAAAAGAGCAAAACAGATCACAAAATAGGATTTATATTTTGCTGAAGGACATCAGTTAAAACCCATTTGAAAAACTTTTTTAAAATTAACTGGGATGGTCCTAGAAATTGTAAATTTTACTGCAAGCATGAATTACTAGTATGTCTCCTATAGTAATACTGTTTGTATCCTTAACAGATACATGTATGTTTGGCTTGTGTTATATGAAGATGCACGGAGATGTTTATACATTTCTGATAACTGAAGTTTATAATTTCCTTTCGGCCGGCATCAGTAATACTTTTCTTTTTGTGGTAATATCTGTGTCGGCAACTAGATTCTTGTTCTTCATAACTTATGTTAAGCCTCCCATCTTAAGTACCTGCAAACCTTGCTAAATATTATCATGATTCGTGTTAGAAATTTAGTTATTTTACCTTCTTTTGGAGTTTCGGTAATGGCACATAGATTTCCAACCTATGACTTCTATTTCTTAAATAAATTTGTTTAACAATTTGCTTCTGCAGAATCAGAATCTGAGAACCAACATTCTGAAAGCTGGAATCCAAGCCCAAACCGAAACCATGCAAAGCATCACAATCCGCATATATCTGCTTTGCCAGCACAACTTCCTGCTGGTGCATATCTTCCAGCTTGCACGGGTAACAAAAAACATCAATCTTTTCACTAGTGGATTTCTGTTTTATCTTTTATTATTGGATTACTGTTATATGCTGTGTAGTGTATACCATAGTTTTATTTTTCATAAGCAAAATGTTTGGTGGAGCTTTAAAGACCTTCAACTTCAGTGTCTTTCAAATGTGATTACTTTAGACTTGTTTTTTTTCACTCACTCTCCTTTGTATGATTGACTAAGACTTTTAATTTTTCAAAAACTTGTTCATGCTTCTTCTTGGCTTTGACATCCTTTATTTGCTAATTTGATATATCTGCATTCGGTAATTTATAGTAGAATTTAATTAGACAGAGCCTTTAATACGTCTAATGAAAGAAAATACTGTTTTCTCGGGTTAGTGCAAATAATACAATTTAGCAATAAATAATGTGGATTACCAATATAGCACTTTAAACTGCATGAATTGGCTATCTGAGGATATGCTACTCTTGATTTTATTTGAAATGCTTTTAGTGAGTACCACTTGGAACACAGTATTGATGTCAATCTTTTATTAGGTAAAAAAGTATGGAATTTATTGATCTCGAGCCTTCATGGTGCTTCTGATCCAAGTTTCTACAATAAATTGAAAGCATCTATAAGTGCATGACAACTTGATCAATGCATTGACATGATTACTGGTGCTTGTTCTTTGTTTGCAAGAATTTTTCCCATGTCAAACATGTAAAGGCCTAAAGAATAAGGGTTCCGCAACTTAAAAGAAATAAGTTTCAAGAAGTTGCCATCTTGTTTTCCTTAACAAACACGTACACTGACAATGCTGACTAACATGAATAACATGTAGCATATCTAGTGTCTGATTAGATTTTTGTCATGGATAATCAGTATTTATGTGGTCGGTTTCTCATGCAGAATGCAATGATGGTGGATCTGAATATCCTGTAGTAGAATTTCCTGGCAACATAAATCGTCAGGTAAGTCTTAGGGCACTAATTTTAGGTTCATTCCTGTTCTTTATATCTTGAGATCATTATTCTCTTGCCTTTTTCTGTACCATTATTTCATCATTTGAAAGATATGTATTATATTCAGCTGACTTCATGGATTCAAATACTGGTTGGTACATTTACTGATGACCAAGGACCAGTTTTGGACCATATGGTCTGGCGCTGGTCGGTATTATTTTATTTTATTGTTTTTGGTTGATACCGAGCATTACAGGGTGGTATACCACCCTGTTTATGGTATTGTTTTGGTTGAGTAGATTACTGAAACTTAAATCGGACAGATTTAAATCCTTGACTAACATAATTCGCTCATTACAGAATGGTAAAAGTTCTCCAGTTCGGTCATTTCTGAGTTCATCTCAGGATTCCTTGACAAAATTTGGAGAAACAAGAATTTCTACAGATGGTTCTTTACCTAGTCCCACTAGCCAGTCATCTTTAGCAGGGTCATCAAAGATACCTAGGTCAAGCTCTAGTCAACTTCTTGCACAAAGAAAGTTATTTGCAGAATCTCAAATAGGCAGGTCAAGCTTCCGGAAACTTTTAGAACCTAGCCTGCATCAACGTCCTGGGATCACTCCATATAGAGTCGTTCTTGGCAATGTCAAAGACAAGGTACGTCAACAGCAAAACTTCTAGACCAGAACTTAGCTAGTTTTTTCCTATTTTTAAAGAAACTAATTTATTTATCAGATAGTTTATTCAAACAAATGTATTAATTATAAAATTCATTCTTTAACATATGCATCAGCTAATGAAGACTCGAAGGCGCCTGGAACTTCAACTTGAGGATCTCCCTTGTGAACATGATCCTGCAGAATACTATGAAACTTCAGATCAACTTCTTGAACCACTAATTCTTTGCTATGAATCCTTGGTAAGAGCCTTCTCTAGTTCTTTATTTTTTTATTAAATCTTTTGTACCCATTTTGAAAAATAAAAAAGGCATTTGTAGTTTCATTCTGTTTATGCTATTTAGATGTTGATGATAAACTTTTCTAATTGCTTCTTTGAAGCAATCATGTGGATCTGGCATCCTTGCTGATGGGCGGTTAGCAGATCTGATACGAAGGGTAGCCACCTTTGGTGTGGTACTAATGAAGCTTGATTTACGTCAGGTACTAATTACTGCTTTTACCAGTTTCATTTTGGATGTCGTGCTGCATATACTTAACTTAGTTATATGCTAATCTTTTACAGGAATCTAACCGGCATTCTGAAGCGTTAGATGCTGTTACAAGATTCTTAGACTTGGGATTATACAGCGAATGGGATGAAGAGAAAAAATTGGAATTCCTGACCAGAGAGCTGAAAGGAAAGCGGCCTCTAGTACCACCAACTATAGAAGTCTGTTCTCTTCTCTAAACGTTCACTATCTTTTAAGTGTTCATTAAGTTCTTTATAAGTTTATATATACTCTTCTTAAAAGTTATTAGAATTTTAAATTTTTTTGTGATATTCCTTCTTATTGCTTTGACCCTAGTTTTACATAATAATTAACTATTACTTTTTGAAGTAAATCCAAAACTTGAAGGATGGATTGTATTAATTAAATATCTTATAAAACCATATAATTAGTTCCATTTTGGAATAATCTAGAATTGGTGAGAGACAATTCATTAATGAATGACTGAATACTATTCTTAAGTAATGAATGATTGAATTAGTTCATGATGCTTATTGATAATTGAGATAATAAAGCTAGGATCACTTTGGAAAAGCATGAATATACACATATATTTGGAGTAATTTGATAGGGCAGCGAAACAATGAACTAAGTAACATATGTTCCTGAATTAGTTCATGATGCTTATTGACAATTGAGATAATAAAGCTAGGATCATTTTGGAAAAGCATGAATATACACATATATTTGGATAAATAAAGTTAGCCTTTTTTGCTTGCTAAATGGCATGTTGAAGCAACATTTTATTAATTGTAGTATCCCACAAATTGCTAGTGAGGATTAAGACAACACTTCATTGGGCTTTTCTGTTGGTTGGATGATTAGCCACTTGATGTTGGATAACAAAAGCATGGAGTAGAGCATTGTGGTATATGACCTGCGTTCAGAGTTTGAAACTGTATATACTAGTCCAAGCGGGGACTGGACCCAAGCCCACATATACCACGTGATAGTATGTGAGCATTGATCGGAGCAACTGCTTGAACTGGCTGTGTGGAAAGGGTAAGTGGGTTTGACAAGGTGAGTGGTAAGGAAGAGGAAATCTTGGTATATTTTCCTCTTTCTTCTATTCTTCTTCCTTTGCCTCTCTGTATTATCCTTGGTACTTTCGCATGGTATATATGCAACTTTTCTCATGGTATATAATAGACAAGATTTTCACTAAGCATCAGAGGATTTTAAGGGTAAAGTGGTAGATCCCATTATCCTTCTCTTTTGCTGTTTGAAGTTCATATAAATTAATCAGTTCTATCTACACATTTAGGTATTCTCCTGTTTTCTGTACATGATAAATCTGGTGTTTAAACTGAAAGATCGCCAAATCCATTGGATTTGAATTGATGAAAGCCAACTTTTTGTGTGTAATTTAAGACTCTGGGCTAAGCCAGGTTTATTAATCTGACGGGGGTTGCTATCAGCTTCATGAATTGATACCAGAATCTTCTGTTATTTGACCGACTCACTGTTAGAATCTTGACGTCGTGCTTAAGTTTGATTCCTGTTCTTGCATCTTGGGCATTATTTTAGAGAATGTTTTTAAACTTTGGTGAATGAAACCTGTCCTTCTAAGGTAAACTAAGAAGCATTATCCAAGCTACAAGGTGGCAAAAGGATTGTGGAACGGAAACCTATTTCTTACATTAATTGGGGAATAAACTTTGTCTAGGATTCCAGACCTTGCTGTTTGCATTAATTTATTGCTTCACTGTTGGAAATATCTGGCAGCTATAAGTTTGAGCTATCTAAACTTAATTTTTAAATTATTTAGGGAGCTGCTAAGACACTAAGATTTATTAAGCACCAAGTAACCTATTAATATAGAAATGATATTGAGAATACTGGGAAATTGAACAGCAGTTTGTATGGTTTCATATATGCTTTGTACTGATGCCACTAACTGTGTGTGCTAAGAATTAAGATCAAGATTAGCATGTTGCTTTTTCCATCTGAAACCATTTTGCCAATTGGTGTTTTAGGTGGCCACTGACGTAAAAGAGGTTCTTGACACTTTTCGAGTTGCTGCTGAGCTAGGAAGTGATTCTCTTGGAGCATATGTGATTTCAATGGCTTCAAATGTACATCTCAACAATGTTTTACAACTTAAAATGCAACAATTTAACACATTTTCTAATCTGAACATATATTTGGCAGGCAAGTGATGTTCTTGCTGTAGAGCTGTTGCAGAAAGATGCAAGACTTTCTGTGAGTGGGGAACTAGGAAGACCATGTCCGGGTGGAACGTAAGATGATTAATTTTCAAGTTTTGAAGTTCATCATGATTGAATTTCCTAACATTCTAGCTGAAATGTTTGAATAGTTTAACAATCTCAAATCATTGTTTTTTCAAATTTCAGAGAATAGGATAAGTTAGTGCAGATTAAATTTTAGAAGCAAAGATGCTGCTGGATATATTATAGCGTATGTTCATCACAAAAAAAAAGGGAACAATAATGTGACTAAATAATAGAATATTTCTATTGATATTGGAACTGATTACTTTTGGTTGATACAGGCTTAGAGTTGTTCCATTGTTTGAAACCGTGAATGATCTTAGACGAGCTGGCTCTGTGATTAGGAAGCTGTTGTCAATTGACTGGTACAGGGAGCACATTATAAAGAATCATAATGGGCATCAAGAGGTAATAGTTTTTCCTTTCAGTTTTACTATTCGCTAAGTAGTTCTCATTTCTGAGACCGGCAAATAATGGTCAGGTCATGGTTGGCTACTCTGATTCCGGTAAAGATGCTGGGCGCTTTACTGCAGCGTGGGAACTGTACAAGGCTCAAGAGGGCGTTGTTGCTGCCTGTAATGAGTATGGTATCAAAGTCACACTTTTTCACGGGCGGGGTGGTAGTATTGGTCGTGGTGGTGGGCCAACATATCTTGCCATACAGTCACAACCTCCTGGTTCTGTAATGGTAAGTTGACTTTTATTATGCTGATAGAGTTGCATTAAGGCCAAATCTATATTAATTAATTTCATTCTTCGCTTTTAATAAACAATAAGCACCACTGAGACTCACATTGGAGTCAGTATTGTAATTTATGTCTTCATGATGCAGCAATTTAGCAGACCCAGTAAAATCTGAGTAGTCGTTAACCATCTTCCTTTTTGCTATTGATATTGATTTATGTTCCATATATTACTGAAATATGCACTCAGGAACTAGTATATTTCATAAAAATCATTGACTTGAACCTAATTTCCACCTGTAAATGTCTTAGATATCCATATATGACATTCATCTATTTCACTGACATGCTAAGAGATCATGAAATCATTTAATGAAATTAATGATGGTTCATTATATTTATGTCACAAGGATCTCAGAATGGCTGATTGAGAAATATCTTGTACATCTTAGTAGTGTAAATGTGTGAGCAATTTCTTGAAAAAACTCTGAATATAAGAAATCTATACATATAAAACTAAAGGTTGGCCGAAACTTCAACCAAAAATTATGCCTATACTGAACCCAGCCACATTAGTTATCCTCCAGGTACCATTTCTGATGGACATTTATTGCTCATTTTTGGAATAGTTAAGCTGCATTTATTTATCATTTAAATACACTGAACTTGGTAAATATTCTTTTATTTTCCCTTTTTTTTTTTGTAAACATGCATTTAATTTTATCGCATGTAGTTTTCGTAATTCAAGTTGTATTACTATTTATAGGCACAGTTGCAATTACTTGAACATTTGTTGTGGTCAGGGATCCCTACGATCAACTGAACAAGGTGAAATGGTCCAGGCCAAGTTTGGTCTTCCACAGACAGCCGTAAGGCAACTTGAGATCTACACAACAGCTGTACTTCTTGCAACAATGCATCCTCCACTCCCCCCAAGAGAAGAGAAGTGGCGTCATGTGATGGAGGAGATCTCCAAAACGAGCTGCAACCACTACCGCAGCACTGTGTATGACAACCCTGAATTCCTAGGCTACTTCCAGGAGGCCACTCCTCAGGCCGAGCTTGGCTTTCTGAACATAGGAAGTAGGCCTACAAGGAGGAAGGCCTCCACTGGTATTGGGCATCTGCGAGCCATTCCATGGGTGTTTGCTTGGACTCAAACAAGGTTTGTGCTCCCTGCATGGCTCGGTGTGGGCACTGGCCTCAAGAATGCATGCGACAAAGGCTACCAAGATGACCTGAAGGCTATGTACAATGAATGGCCTTTCTTTCAGTCCACCATCGATCTGATCGAAATGGTGATTGCGAAGGCTGACATTCCCATTACCAAGCACTACGAAGAAACGCTCGTCTCTGAGAGCAGAAGGGCCCTAGGTTCTGAACTGAGGTTGGAATTACTGACAACAGAGAAGTGTGTTCTAGTTGTCAGTGGGCACAAGAAACTGTCGTCCAACAACAGGATATTGAGGAGGCTGATTGAAGGCAGGCTGCCATATCTCAATCCACTTAATCTCTTGCAGGTGGAGATACTGCAGAGGTTAAGATGTGATGTTGAGAACCATAAGCTTCGTGATGCTCTGCTCATCACAATTAATGGCATTGCTGCAGGGATGAGAAACACCGGTTGATATATACACACACATTTAGCTTCTACATGCTTGGTATTATTATCTTTCAGAGACTTACTGAAAATAAAGTTCCCGGAGGTTCAATTTTGAATGTTTTGTGAGTTTTTTTTTTTTTAATGCAGTAAATCCATGTTCGGATATTCCAGAAGGACTTGTTCTTGATATATTTATGTTTCATCACCAGACTCCGGCAGTGTCATATTTGGTTCCCTCTGTTGTTTCTGATAATTCTTGAGGTTAGCTTTCCACTCACGGTTGACGGACGCAAATAAATATATGGGCTGTTCTCGTTGCTGTTGCATGTCCTATTTTTCGTCGAAGATGTACCCTTGATGTGATGACTCGACTCAATACAGTAGATGTGGTTGTCGCCTTAAACAGTGATACCCGTGCAAGGTGGCGATAGCTTCCAACTTAAAATGGCACAAGTAAGACGTATCAGAGTCGCGGGTTTAACATCAAATGGCACAAGAAAGATACCTGCATGGTCACGGAATACCAAACCCTTCAATTATATTCTCGACTTAAGACCGGATCTGTGAAAATTAAGGCAAAAGATGAGTCACGGATGCTGTGTGGCTTCTTGATTTATTATTCTTGTAGTCTGAGATCAGATACTTTTAGTTCACCATCCTGAGGTTTGGTTTGAAGTATCAGACCAAATGTTTTCCAAAGCAACCCAAGTTGGCCAGAATATTAATGCATGACAGACCTGCTTGAACTTGGATGACCGTAGTTGGCAAATGTAGCTTCTATATCTCCATGAAAAAACACTATAGCATTCTGCTTTTCCATAAACTGTACGGCTACATTATCAGGCAATGCTGTCATAGTTAATAGCTCCATCTACAACATGCCATTCATTAGAATGTCATCGTTTCGATTGTGCAACTCTAGAGGATGTTTGGCACAATCATAAAATATCAGGATCCATCATCAGCTTTCCAGATTGTTGTCAGCCTCTGGCTGCTTTTGAATGCTAACTCCATTATTCATTCTAGCACGCGCCTCGGCAAACATCCTCTGTTGCTCTGCCAATGCTTCTTCCTCTGTCATCTCGATACCGCTAAATTTACCACCTTTAGGTGAGTCCTGCACAGAATGGATAGAAGATATACGTACAAATGTTTTAGAAGGAACACATGGTAAGAACAACAGAAATTCAATTATGAACCTACAAGGGTGTCAAGCTTATGTTGTTCGTATGCAGCATAAACCTCCTCAATGTATTCACCAAAGCCAAGAACCTGGTACCACAAATAACCACATCAAAATATACTGGAAAAAAAATGAAAACAGCAGGATGATATCTAGGTCCAAAAGAGAGTGTTAGGTGTACTTATCAGCCTCACCGGACATCAGATGACAATTACTGGAAAAGGTTGCACCGCATAATACTAGTAACATAAGCTCCAATCCTATATCTCATAATGTAATCATATTCTTTTACAAAGATGATCACCACATTGTGAGTCCTTTCATGCTTGTTTCTAGAAAGATAGTCTGACGATTCTGGTATGTAAGCTCAGAAGGAAGATTAAAGTGAAAAATAGCCTTATAACAGCATGGCCAGGCCACAAATTGGTGAATCCAAAATAAGGATTTGTATTGGTCAACAATTTGTGTCCCTTACCACGGAGCTGCTATTTCTTCACCTAATTTTTCTTTTTGATTCTTAAGTATAAATCTCAAGATGCAGGATAAGATATATGCAGTGCCAAAGGACAGGAATCTATGTCAAGACACATTTAGCTGTAAAGAAACTAGATTCTTTCTCCTAACAAAATTTAATCCCACATTTGCCCATTGGACTGGTGACTGATATAACATGTAGGCTGCATATTTTTACCTATTATACACACTTTTTTAAAGAGCTGCTTTTAATTCCTTGTCCCTCCCTAAGTGCAAAGCTTAATGAAACTCGTTAACTTTGATGCTTGTTTGTCATCAAAATCCTTTTGAATGAACTTTGGAGATACTTATGGTCTGCATGACCATGGACACGTTCCTAGCAGTTCTGGAATGCAGAAAACCATAAGTGACTTGAAGACTGAAAAACTGAGACTCAAAAACAATCTGATAGGGACATTCAGAAACAACAACATTTTTGAAAAAATATGAGGAAACTAGTTGATTCATACTGCTACTTGGTATAGGCAGAAAAGAAGTGGAGAGGGATGCTTTTCTTTTTCATTTGTTTGATGTCTTCTTGGACTATTCAACTTAGAATCTTAAAGTATTAATGGTAAGATGTGTTTCTCAGCATATGGAAGACTACTTCAAATTCATTTGCTGATCCCATGATGCCATGACACACTGGTGTTTTCCATCTATTACTTTTATCTTGCTTCTAGAAAACTTATCAAACAGTCAGTACAACAACAGTGGATCTGCATCAAGTAAGCTGATATGACTTCAAAAGACAAGACTGTACATGTTTACATGTCGAATAGTTAAGCAAATCTTCCTGTAAATGCTATAACACTATTTTTCTTTGAATTTTATCTTACAGAGATTGAAGAAACCAGGAGCATAGTTCACGGCCCTATCTTGTTGCAATACTAACTTTTCTAATTTGTTTCCTCTATCTGCAGAATTCCAACAGTCCAAGCTACCCATTCTCCTCTTCCCATAAATCTATCAACACTATGGATGCACCCCTCAACATACAATATAATTTCTTCTACACAATGTGAGTTTGTTGTTCTACAGTTAAATCCTTTCTTTGAAGCACCTTAGGGATTGTAGGAAATAAAAAGGGTACAACCTCAGTTTGTTATTTCAAGGAACATTTCTATTTCATAAAAATAGCTATGTCAAATGGACATCATGTCAGGAGTATATTCAACCTCACTGAAATATCTATTTAAAGAAAAGCTCTGTAACAATATCAGATTATCTTATCTCTACTGAAATCAGAAAGAGAACACAATCTAAAAGAGAATTAAACACTAGCAAGTCCTTAGCTATTCTAGAATCAGCTATGACTACTCAACAAAGCTAGAGTATGACTACGGCAGTAAGAAAATCCTTATCCCATTTGTTAAAATCCTAAAAATCCTGGTCGAGATGAATATACCACAAGACCATAAAAACTTTACAATAACAAAGAAATGGACATAACTACAACTTCAAGAGAGAGAGAGAGAGAGAGAGAGAGAGAGAGAGATTGTAGAATGACTCAACCTCCAAAGCCTTGAGCACATGCTCTGGTGCAATTGTCTTTTTGTCCTCTCGATTACATACTTCATTGGACTCCGAAGATAGAAGATTGATAAATTCTGCCAATTATGATAAAAATTAAAAGCTTAATCTGTAGAACCAAAATAACACAAGAATGGCAACTTGTGAAGTTAACCACCAATACTAGAAGACATGTCATCGTTTGAGAAAAGATAATAAGTATTTCTGGCATTAGATGACAATGTAATGGTAAAATACAAGAGCAGAAACAAATCAAACAGGAAACTAACAGTTTTCTTATTAGTTGCATACTCTTAAAGAGTTAAAGGTACTTATTCTTGTTTGCTTTCTTTGTCTCAACTTGGCTCAATGGACAAACTGATCCATTAACATGATACACCTAAAACCACATGACCTCCTCCCAATACCATTGTGGGGATTGATGTCCTCATGCAACTCATGTCTTTGATCATATTTCACTATCAAGCTTAGCCGGTGGTATGTGAAGCCCAGTTTAATTCTAGCTCCATGTCATGATGTATCTCCAATCTTAATCATGGGTAATTTTCTCCTACTTGAATCCTTCACCGTCTCTAGTGCAAGATTCACTATGATGTCAATTGTCATGACAAATGGATGAAAGACCCATTAATTTGATAGGCCTACAACCATATAGCCCAAAATGTTCAAGTCCATGTTAACGATGATAGACTCATTTAACCAAACCAACCGAATACTCCTCTCCTTCTGAAATGGGACTAAACTAGGGTGCCACATTGTTGCTCATAAGAAAGAGTATGACACAAACATGATACATCCATCGTATAGGACACTATGTTCCGAACAATATATACGTCTCCTACATAGAAGTTAATGCAACTCCCTACACATGGGAGACATCCAAGTGCAGGTTGCTCAAAAATTAATTTTAATTTTCTTAAAATTCAAACAAAGAATTGTAGAGATTGACATGGATGATTCATGTCACTGAGTGAATCCAAACAATATCTGTCCCTGTAATATTTGCTTCCTTATGAAGAACATATTGCGAGAAGAGTTACAAATTTTCCTGTTAATGTCTACCATCATTTCAAAATATTATCGTTCATAGGGAAAACAAAAACCAAGACTAGCAGCAGACAAATATGCTAAAAAATCCATCTAATGGCTTATAAATTCCACTTGCCTACGCAACATTCCACGAGAAGATCTTGAGTATCTCTAGCTACACGAACATCAGGTGGTAGCATCTCCTTTATAATCTTGAACATTGTTGCTGAAAAGTAACCATCATACTAGATTAGGATATAACTCAAAATCTATAAATGAAATTTATTTGATGTGAAAAGATATCAAACAAGACTGAATTTAAACATGTTCAAACATTGACAGAGTGCTATTAATTACAACCCTTCCTAATTGTTATCTTGTTACAGACAGATATTTTTCTAAAATCTCACATCAGCACTTTTTCTTGAAATGGGTGATGTGCTTTATATTTTAAATGAGTGATATTCAGGCCCTTCAGGATGTCTTCATTTAGACATACAGGTCATCATGAGCTAAAATAAGAGTAGAAAAAATGGAATTAAAAGCACATGTATCAATCACAAACTATTCTGAACTATAAGCCACAAAATTCCTGTAGGAAAGTACAAAGCATTAAATCCTCATTGAGTTACTTGATATTCTCTTTACTAAGGTGACGACATACATCAACACAGAACTGACAAGAGATGGTTAAATTTTCTTGAACATGAATAACACATATAGATCATGACAAAGCTAGAGTTTTGTCACGGTCACCTTTTGCTATTTGTAGGTCTTGCTTAGGAAACCAGCAAAAGTTTTTATGTATATATATAAGCAATGAGCTCGACCTTGGCACTGAATTTCTCAGAAAACCACAAATTTTATTTTGTCAAGAAGCCTATTACCATAATGGAAACCACAAAACCATTAAATTTCTTAGGAAACTTCCATTATTTTGCCAAGAAGCCTATTAGAAAATAAGAACCCAATGATGGAATATTTGTATTTCCTAATAAAATAGTGCTGAGAATATTGTTCCTATAAGAACATAACATCAACAGAATTCAATGCGGGAAGATTACTGTCTTGTTGTAAGGGGCTTATCTATGAGATGGATAATTTCGTGCTTTCACTACTTTGAGTCCTAACTCAAAGATTTGCACTAAGGATAGAATATATATATAGTGTACCATGAAACTATGTTCAATGTGTCTTCTAATCTCACATTTGTTTTGCATAATTTTCACACAAGGTAAAATTTAGCTCCTTGTAACAGGCTACCCCAAACCTAGTATCACTACCTGAATGGATGAAACGGCCCAGCTTGCTGAACTCTTGAAGGATCCAAACTTCCCACCAGGATGAAGGACGCCACTAATTAGCTTATGCACCTTTTTTTCTCCATGTCATACGATCCAAATCCAAGAACATATTATAATACTTAACCAACCTTAATGCAGGAAACATTCTACCCAACTTAAAAGTCATAGACAATCGAGAAAGAGACACTCGATCAATTCCCGACGACAATCAAACACCGGAGTATCATCCATTAGGGCAAAGAACTCACATTTCGGGAGCGATACGTCCTCTTTCGACTTCCCGACGATGTCCATCGGTTCCATCTTCCGATCAAACCCTAAAAGGATCGATTTCAGTTCCTCTTCGCTCCGGGTGGCCGAAAACGGTCGGAGAGGGAAGAAACCGGGGAAAAGCGAAGAATCGCGAGGACGACGATCCAAGCAATATGGGATCGATTATAGAAACAAGGGTTACTGCGGCGGAGAGATCAAGTCGAAGTCGAGACCAGGCGGTGAAACTGGGGCAATCCGGAGTTCATTTTTGTCGTCACATCGAGGCCTACCAAATACGTGCGTGCAAGCGTAGGTGTTAGCGGGTCGGGTGTCGGGTTTCCACTACATATTTATGATCCACACTCCTCGGTCAGGATCCGGATCATTGTTAAGTTAACTGAAACCATTGACGTCTGTTGGTTCTTATCCTGAAAGATGAACGGCCGGGATGCTTTTCCACCGCTCCATCCGTCAACCGGCGCGCGTAGCACGAAGAATAACCGTTCTGCTCACCGCCATGTGAGAATAGGGCCGGAGAAAATGAACGGTTTCGTGCGAAAACACTTTTGTCTAAGACCTTATGTCATCTGACGAGTGGGTGGTACGCTGACCGAGCGTTACTTTACATTCCCTATAGATGAAGGGCTGGGATGCATTTCAGCAGCTCTTCATCCATCATTTCCCGCAAACAGCGAGAACGTATTGGCCGTTGGGGCAGCTGACCATTGGAAGATCTGTTTGCAGGTTATGGTCACCGCCGTTGAGAATAGGGAAACAGGAAAAGAGCCATTTCACGCCGAAGAAATTTTTTTGGAGGCCTTTAGTCATCCGATCGATGAGCGGTAAGATAAGTGCAGTAGTTTTTATCCCTGAAACATGAAACGGCCGAGCGCGGTTTCCACTCTCCCTTCCATCAATTAAAGCAAATAACCTGGCGAGTAGGTTGTGGTCACCGCCTGTGAGAATGCGACACCTCAAAACGAGCATTTTGGGGCCATAAAAATATTTTTTCGGGCATTTTGTCATCTAGCTGACGTGTGGTAAGATAACCGGGGCGAACTTGGGACCCTCGCACCTGGCGGCTCACACCGCGATTAGGTTCTGATCCCCACGCGTGAGAAAAAGGACACCGAGAGTTCGATCCTTTTCGGCCGATCTAGTTTTTTAAGCCACTTCAATGTCCAGGTAAGCTCACCGCGATTCCCGCGAATCACCGCTGGTTCACGTCAAACCACAAAAGACACATCAAACACAAGAAAATCTATTTATTCTCGTTATATTTCTCCCGCTTCAACAATTTAGCTCTCTACCCCATTCATTCATCTCTCAGTCATGCCATAAAATTCAGGGGGAAGTATAGCATCAACCATTGTTATTAAAGAGTGACGAGAACAATAACATGATCAGCATGCAGCACCAAACAAACAATAGAGGGAAATCAGAAAGAGAAACCTGTTCTCAGAGTAGTACTTGAGCAACACTGGGTCAGAGGAAATCTCCGACCGAGGAAGATAGTGGGTTGAAAGCCAAATGAAGCAAACACGAGGATGTGCCTCATCTGAACTCCCAACAAGATGCCAATCACGTATATTCTTAACGATGACAGACAAAGTACATGCAGCGGTTACCTACACTTGTTACAGGAGTAAGCAGTTTACATCTGAATGTTACACTGTGTTCTGGTGGACTACCAATATGAGCCAAAAGCTGGAACAAGAAAAAGAATAAAACAAAACATAGTATCCGTGCAAGGGGCCAGAAGGTCCGAGGTCATACATATATACAGATATGTGATGCCGAAAGCCACTACAATCAACTTATAATGTTCAACGTATGTACCACAAATCCATTTAGCTACTATTTTGAAGACAACAAGATGGGCGTAGTGTGAAAGTGACTGCCCGCGGGCGAGAAATTTTCAGTTCTGCTGCCGAGGAGAGGGCTCTAGGGTGGGTTGTTGACTAATAACAATCAGCCACTGCAAAACAAAGTCAGCGCCAGTTTAGTAGTGAGAACTTACTCGTGGAAACAATGAAGACAAAATCAACCCAACAAGCTGCTTGAAATTGTTCAAACTCATTCAGACAGAATTGTACACTTGCTCGATTAAGTTTGGAGATCAAGTGACTAGTGGAAGTACTTAGTTTAGCAAAATCCTACTCGAGCAAAGATAAACTCCAAATTTTCAAAAAGGGGTGATCGTTGTTGAAACATGAATAATAATGATCTGAAACATTGCAAACAAATGAACAGGTAAAGAAGTGTCAATATAAATAAATGTTTTTTTTTGCAAGGAAAAACTTACCATTTATCTTGTGGCAAGATGCATCAGGATCTAGACAGGAAACTGATCAGGAATTGGTGAAACAGCTGTACTTTTGTGTCATGTACTTGTGATGGCTGTGCTTGGTCATGAAATATAGACCCCCCACATGAATATCTCCTTTTCTTTCTCACTCGGAACAAGAAATCTTCTGTGTCTAGCACATAAGACACCTGGGAATCAAAGCAACAAATATAGACATTCCCACAGTTAAACAGGTCCAAATATCTAGACTAGAGCTTCTAGTAAAACTATCAAACAAGTACCTTTGAAGAACTGCAAGATATCTTGCATTCCAAGCCATTGATTACTTGAAACCCAACCATGGTCTTGCAAGTAGAAGTGTTTTCATCGTCTCCCACATATTTGCGTTTATTCCTGATGAATGAAAGGCAGTTAAAACATTAGTTCCATGAAAACACATGATAACACACAATCGTGCTTACCTTCCCAGGAAGACACCCTCTGCTCCTATCTTATCCGGAACACTTGACAGAAAATCACTGCATAGATAAGCTGAAAAGCTGGGATCTATTGTGACAGCGGTGACTTCAGGCTTCTCATGTCCATATTCCATGAGCTGAATGGATAGGCAGGTCATGCTTGAAGATTGTGAACACTGAAAAAAAAAAAAGCAGAATACGTAAGAACTGATAAACTGTTTCAAATATTTAGATTTTTTCCTATGATCAAATATTTGGAACATGATTGCCATATTCTACTATTATAATTACAGATTAACAACAACAAAAAAAGCCGCAAATCCCAACTATTTGAGGTCAGCTACATAGATCTTTTGTCGCATTTAGGATCTGTAAAAAGTTAAATATTTAATTAAGTACAGAGTACTTAAATCTTTATTTATAGTTTCTATTAAAATCTTTTTAAATCTTTCTTTACCTTTTCGTGTACCACTAATATTAATTATTTCATTTCTTCTAACTACTGCATCCGAAGGTCTCCTAAGCACATGCCCACACTATCTTAAATGATCTTTCCTCATCTTCTATCGAAGCAATACATAATTGTTCATAAATAAAAATATTTTTTTTTTTATCTTTCCTAATAACTTTACATATTCATCTTGACAACACAAACTTTTTAATACATGTCTTAACAGTCCAACACTCAGATCCATAAAGCATTGTTAGTCTCACAACTATCTTATAAAATTTTTCTTTTAATCTCAAATGTATCCGATCATCACATAAGACTTATTATAATTACAGATGCAAGATCAATAATGAATACTACAAAGAACATCTTATAGTATTAGTTTTTAGAGGATATAGTTGCCAAAGTAACTATGCATGGAAAAGGACATGAATAAAGCAACATGTGGAAATTTATTTCCCTAAAGACTTGGGAGAAAATGAGATAAATAACTCACACATTCAAATCTGTATATGTTTTCATCATGAAGAAGCACACGAGCATTCTCATGATAGACTAGATCAGAAGATCTGCCCGATCGCCTTGATTTTTCATACAAGTATAGTTGGAGAAGCTTATTATCCATCTCATCTGAAGCTATTGCTTGAAGCTGAAAAAAAAAAGAGTAAGGATAAGTGGATTCTAAAGAAATGAAAGGATACAATTCTCCAAGAACCATGTAGTAATCTATATGTACATAAATACCTGTTTAGCAACTTTATAGATTAGCTTGTCCAATGTGAAAAGTACATAGGACTGAGTTCCAATGATAGCACGACAATCATCTTCGAACTTGGTATTGTCAGCAGAACCATCAAGAAGGTGGTAAAGAGCACTCATAAATCTGCAAAAAATCATATTAGGGATTTTCATGCATAGTAATTCAAAAATATAAAAGAGAGAGAGAGAGAGAGAGAGAGAGAGAGAGAGAAAGATGGTTGTTGATGTATAATACTTGGCATATAAATCAGGAGGGCTTGTATCTTTAGAACTTCTCCATTTCTTTTCAGCAGCTAATGAGTTTGTCTTGGCCGAGAGTATCCTTTCATACAAAGTCTAAAAATGAAACAACATAGCTATAAACTACTATCGCAAATATGGGTTAAAAAGTATCTAAATGGAACAGGTCTGACCTGATGAAGCCGAAACAGCACATAAAATGAATCATTTCCATAAAAAATTCGTGAAGATTTATCTTCCTTATCATGTAATGCTGTAGGCACATGTCTTGCAAGAGGTTTAACTGTGTGCAGAATTCGTTCAGAAAATGGTAGTGATGTAATTTCTCCTTCAGCTTCACCCTCACTTTCAGCCTTTGCATCCTGGTCGTCATTCCCGGCATCATCCTCTTCCTCTTCATGATCTTCATGCGAGCACTCCTCACCATCACCAGATTCACTGCCGGAGACATCCTCACCAGCCTCTGATGCATTTCCACTGACCTCTGTAGACCGTTGAGCACTTTCCTCACCCTCATCATCAGCATCCGCTTCATTCTCCCCTGCAACCTCACCACAGGAAGCCTCTACTTCTCCAGGTCTGACTTGATACTGTCTGCTAGAAGAACCGTCTTTCCCTTTAGGAGTTACATTTACAGCAACATCCTCAAATGTCACAAAATTATCCTCCTCAAAGTCTCCATTCGGTGACAATTCACCTTCTTCTCTTTCAACCTTAAGGTTATTCAAGGAAGCAGAACCTTCACTAGGTCTGTGACCTTTGTTGCCTTCAGTGGTGTTACCACCATTAGCCGCTAGGATAGGCCTTCCAGTTTGTACACCCTAGTGCATTACAAATAGCCATATCAAGATTTAGACGAGATTACCAATTTTAAGATAGAACAGGAAAATATTCTTATTATAGCAAACAGCATTTTGGGTTCGTGTGTGTGTGCGTGTATATATATATAGGCCAAAAACACAAGCATTTATTTGCAAAGGCTTTTCTTTATTTCCATGAAAAATTAGAGTGAGTTAGATTTTACTAGTGGGGCATAACAACCTTCCTACAGGTTCCTTTGTAATACACACCATTGGTAACTGCTGCAAGAATTTCATGTGAGCAGACAGATTAGAGACTGAGTCAAATAAAGAGTTCATCCATGAGAAAATAATGACCAGATATCATGGTAAAGACTGTTTTGGTGCAATATGATATATCTGGCATGGACCAGCACAAATCATACAATTTACTGATAAAAATGACATCTAATAGCAACTAAAATAACACAAAAACCTTGAAAACTAATTATCAAACATCAATCATAAACCATGTACTCGAGCATAAAAACTCAAAAAAAAAGGGAAAGAAAAAACACAGATTTATACCTCTGAAGCAGGTAAATTTTCATTGGTAGCTCGAGGTTCAACTAGTGTCTCGTTTCCAAAATTGGCAGCTCTAGATGCACCACTAGCCCCTTACAAAGAGAACAGAAAAAGTAAGCTAAAGTTACTTTAGAATGAATAGGAAAATAAAATATAAAAAAATTTAGACCTCCAACCTGTTACAATCTCCCGGTTTGTTCTATTGTGACATTGTTCAGCTCTACCAGCAACAGAAGTGGTATCTGGCATACGCTCTGCAGACACATTTGTTCCAGTTATTCCAGACACTTCATCAGCCATAGGAGCACTACCCTGCACTCTCCCTTGCAGCAAATTGTTACAAAGATTTTCTCCATGGCGAGTGGTTTGATCAACATCATGAAAACCATTTTCAGTAACTGTTGTATCTCCATTGGCTGACCTAGTCCTGCACAGAGCTGTTTGTTCAGATGGAATGTTCTCATCACCATTGCTTTGCTTGGAAGCACCAGCATAATCAGCACCGGGGCTCCCATTGCTTTCACCCACAACTGACAAATTGGCTTTGACAACACGACTCTTAGGTTTCACATCTTCAGCATCTTCTGCAAGTTGGTTTCGAGATGGAACACCCAATAGGGGCTCTAAAAAAGTAGTCCATATCTTCATGACTTTGTCCAATTGATCAGAAGATGTGCAAACTTCTCCACATGAATATTTAATGATCTGATACAAATCCTCATGGATACTTACATCAACATACTCAAATGCCATATTGGGAACAATAGGCTGCCTATTTCTGGCAGCAATGGTGACAAGAATGTCATCCTCCTTCTTCATCTTGTCATTAATTTCTTTAATCTCAGCCAGCAAAGCTGTTCAGAAAGCATAAGAGCATATAAGACCGAGGTACAGCAAACAAGACCTAGATTTACAACCTATCATATGTTACAAGCAAATAGAATCTATGTTTAAATGAAAAAGGCAACTTTTTTCATCGTGATACTAAAAGCTTGTAAAGAATCAAAATATTACATACCTTTTGTGCTCAAGCTCTTTGTATCCTGTTGCTTAAAATAAAAACTGCGATGATCAAGTGATTTATGATAGTTCTTGGCATATATTTCAGCCCAAACTTTATTAAAATCTGAACGACACCTAGACCATTCCTCTTGCTTCTGTTTCAGGCGGGTTAATATGACTGGCAAAGCAAGACTGGCATTCTTGCGAAGTACATCCATGACATCAAGGCCATGGTCACCATATAACCGTTCAATGCACCTCAAATTTAAAGCTTGAGAAAAAAAAAATCAAAAGAGAAGTCAACAAAATGTGCTGAAAAGCAGAAAAATGGAACAATACAATGGGAAGCTGAAAGCATGTACGATAAATATGATATAGGGCATCCATTAAATAATCATGCATACTAACAGTTAAGGTGGTCTTCCATGCGAGTTGGATTTTCTGATTTGACAGGGTCTTGCATCATTTCTATTAATTCTTCCACTCGTTTGGTTGTGATATTCACCGATTCCAATAACATATCCAGCTCAAATCTGAAAACATTTTGTAGAGAAAAAGTCAATAACAGATCATAAAGCCAAAGTGTGATTGCCATCTAATTACTAGTATGATTTTTATTTGAGAAAAAACTAGTACAGTCAGTAAGATCACATGAAATACAAAAGAACAAGAGACGGCACAAGAAAAAAGCAAATTCTAAGTTCAGTAAAGAGTTCTCATCATGAACTATATAACTTGGTATATATATATATATATATATATATATATATATACACACACACACACACATACATGTATATATATAAGGCTATTGAATAGGGAGAAAAATAAATTAGAAAGTATCAAAGCCAGTACCTATCATCTTCACATCTAAATAAGCTTTCTTCATATTGGTTTTTGCGCATGTGCTTGAAGGAGTAATCCTCACTTCCAGAAGTCACTGATACCCATACATCATTTAATACTGACACTCCAAGTTCAGTCCTGTGGCTAGCAGGAGGAATCGGATACTGACAAAAAAGACATAAATAACAAACATGAAGAGCAAAGACAAGATAGATACATAAATTGAAAAAAAAAAAACACACAACTTTGGGTAATAATTACATTTTTTGGTAGAAGACGGTAACTTGGGGTACAACGTTGACAATTTGAGAGGTCAAGCTCTGAAATAGGTTTCCATAAATTATACTTTTCTTTGTTTGTGAACAAAGTAGCCTTGTGAGAGGCACCCTCTTTAGAATTGTAAAGAGCACCTTTGTCAACTCTTTCCCTTTCACGATCTTTCTCCCTCTTATCCATTTCACGCTCTCTTTCTCTGTCTCCATCCTCTAACTTAACTGGCCTAGCAATGTGTCCTTCATAAAACAATGATTCTTTTAGTATACTACTTAATGAATTAAACCAAAATCATATATTTAAAATTTCCAAATTTCTTGAGTCAGAAAAAGAGACATGTCTAGTCCAGAAAAAAAAGGTTAACTGATTTCAACTACAAACACTGGGAAGGAATCTCGGAGACATACTTTTGTTGAATACTCCTTCGAGAAATCCATCTGCAAAATAGCCTTCATTTAGAAAACTGTGAAGGCCTATATGATTAACATCTTAATAGGTTTGTAGAAAAGGCATATTCACGTCAAAGGGAAGATGTATAAGCTCACCTATATTTTCACAATGTGCCAAAAATTCATTGAAGCCGTCCATGAGATCTGGATACTTTCCAAGGATATCACTTACCTATAACAACAATGAAGAAACTATATCATTCCAGGTGCTAAGGGTCTCTGATAGAGAAGATAACACACAGAGCATAATATGAGCATAACTTGTTAAAGCAATAAGCAATTATTATCAAATCTCTCACCTAAAATAAATCAACTATCAAATGCAGCACCAAGCCAAGAAGACTATGAAAGAAATTGAATATGACATTTTATTTTCTTCAGAGAAGAGAAACCAAATAGTATATTATATTATATTATATTATTTATATATATATATCTCTTCTTTTGTGAATTAACCAACAATGCCACCAATATCCCATAAATTGTCCAGTATAACACATAATGTAAGCAATTAATTTTAATGTAAGGATATAATCAACAAGGTGTGTTGCATGCAGAACCAGATTGCAGCTAAAGGAAAAAAAATGCTTGGTGGTCCCATATTATTGGCCAGAGACAAAATCAATGAAAATAGAAATAATTGCCAAAAGCTTATCTACAAACTCAAAGAGATCTCCACAGACATGCTATTTATTATAAACACAAAAGGTAGGCCAAAACTACATTCGTTAGTACAAAAATTGCACCTAAATGAGCCAAGGGTATCGAAACGACACAAATACCAAGTCATCACAGCAAATCTTTTAGTTAGAAAACCTTCCGTGACTAAGGCTGCTAAAAGAGGTTAGCCGAGTGCACAAGGCTTGTAATACTCCGATTAGTCCCATATTAGAAGTGAGCAAGACTAAGATTGGCTTATAAAGGTCAGATGAGTGTCCTACTATCAAATCAAATGAAGTTGATGGGCCAGTTAACCCATTAGGCTCGGTCGTGACATTTGGTATCAGAGTCGATCTAGTATTTGGGCATTGTGAGAGGGGGCTACGCCTCACATGCGCCATGGTAGAGTTTGATCTAAGATATATTGGGCCTTGACGAGGGCGTCAAACCCTTGAGTGGGGAATTAGTCTCATATCAGAAATGGACAAGACTAGGATTGGCTTATAAGGGTCTGATGAGTATACTACTATCAACTTCAGCTTAAACATTTTGACTTAACCTTATCAACACACCTTTTGTATCATGGCCTAGTTTCTACTAACTTTCACCTCTAGAAAATCAGGCTTCTTACAACCTTCACTACTATCTTCTTCATGTCAAATGTTGATAAGATACATTAAAGTTTCCATCAAACTCATACACTAGTTTGTTCCAAAAGCAGACCAATTGTTGTTCTTGATATTTTTGACATAACACAACTTAAAGTATCTCAGCTAATCAATATTTACTCCTGCTTATGCTGCATCAGTATATGTTCTTGTTCAGCACAGCAGTACTGCATTGTCTACCTTTTCCTGGTTTAATATATCCCCACCATTCAGAAGACTGTTTTCTTTCTCTATATATGGAGTATTTTTATTTTTGATATTTTCAATAATTATGGACTCAACGTGCAATTTGTCACTGCAGAAAATCCTAATGCAGTTGCAACCAGATTGTTTATTGCAACTTGAAAATGAAAAAAACAGCACTAGGAAAGTGCAGACACCAGCCTTATCAGTAGAGATTCACTTGAATTGTTGCTTATAAGACTTCAATAATCTTTTCACATTGCTTATTTTGCATCTTAAATGCCATTTCTATGATAATTAAGCATATTTTAAGCACTTTCCTCAACATCAAAGAGCTACCACTTGTCACAAAAGTATTTGATGAAAAATGGGAAGGCTAGCAGTTGAAATAAGTGGTGCATACATGGGCAGTAGTAATTAAGAAGGTTCAATAAAATGTGCAAAGATTTTCAGAAACTTTCTGGGCAATGTTCACACAATAATACCAGTGCCAACAATACTATATTGCTAATTTTATCCAGAACAAAATGACTTGGGAGAACACCATCAATGACGAGAAAACACCAATTAGAATGTACGAAAAATAGTAACAGGAGATTGCAGACATTGAGTTATAGTGCTTGCTACTAGGAACAAGCAGACAAGTGGCCTAAGAATATTGGGCTATCATATACCAGGTGAGTTAAATTAAACATTTGATTCCACATACAAGATTTACTGCATTAATCAAGATATGGAATTTGTTGGCCTTAAGGGAAGGAAAATGCAAGTTGTTGCATTAACAGGTATATTCTGTTTATCCAACAAGTAATTAAATAAAACACTGAGAAAAAAAAACAATCTAGGGTAGTTCCTTTTTCAACTGCTCAAATAAGAGGAAGGTATCACATTGATTCATGGTTATCTCTCCAGTATGGTTCTTTTAGCTATCAAATTTCTGTATGAGCCATTATGTCAAACTTAAGTAATAAGTAGTGGCCATTTAAACTTATTGTCTAGAGTCAATCAAGTTACCCTAAAAAAAACTGGATACCATTTCCAGACAAATACAAATGGTCTATTTATACAGAATGGTAAAGAGGGCTCCTCTATCTTCTATGATAACATAAGAAACTTCAACAGAAGAACAAATTTAGATAACAATTGTTGAACATCTAAATAAAGAAGTTATAAGATCAGCACAGTCACTGTGGATATGGATGCTTCAAGAATCAAAATCTTACCAGATTCTTTAATTCTGTTCTATTTATTATTTCTTTGCTGTATATGTGAAGGCATTTCAAAAACTCCTGGTATGTGTCAGGGTGCAACTTTTCCTTGACTTTCTCGCAAAAGTTAAATTCTCGGGTATATACACCTGCCGCATTAAAATTGAACAAAAGATAAGGTATCACAACATTATAGCACGTGCATCATAAAACCATTGAATACCAGGAATAAACTTCAATTCTAACAGTAAACCAACTGGATGAACCACTCTTCATATCACTAGACAATCTTTACTGAAGCCTCTCCGGTTGTAGACATCTGTTACTAGAATCGATCCCCACATGAATTCAACGCTCATGCTAAAGCTTAAAAGAATCAGTTCTGTAAGAGAAGTACTAACTAGGTAGATCTCACTTTGGCTGATTGAAATGATCCTGACACGATGATCCAATTGGAAACTAATGGACATTCCTAGAGATTTACTAACAGGAAACCAGAAATCAAATATAAGGTGTTTACTACAACTAATTAAACTTCATCTCAAGATTCATACAAATAGCAATATTGAGCCTTGCTTAGAATCAAAAGAAAAGTGTTAAAAATTGCGATGACAATTCAGAACCTGTAGTGACAATCAACAAACACATTCAAATTTGACTCTGTGAAGAATAAATAAAGCATCAGGGTTCATTATAATGCAGCATCTGTAAATAGTAAAGTTGGAAATTCCATGATGCATATGATTGGTCGGAAAGATTGCATATGAGAACAATATATTATGATATTGATGCCACAAGAAGAGCCGCACTCATATGAAACATATAAATCGAACAACAGATGACAGAATCATAGAAGACTTACTCTTCAAAGCATTCTTATCATCAAAAGATGAAGCTGAAATGCTATAAATGCCATCAGCGCCATCACCTCCTTGCTGCATTGGCTCGGCAACAGAGTCATCCACCCTTTTAGATGAGTGTTTACGCCTAGGATGTGTGTTACCTAAATCTCCGCTGTCATGATCCATGTCCTTCTCATCCCATTCTCGGTCTCTTTTGTCCCTATCTTCCTTCCTATCTTTTTCTTTCTCTGCAAGTCTTCTCTGCCTATCATGTTCTGTATCAGGACGATCGACACTAAAATCGCGATCGGCATGTGATGTATAAGCTCTATCCCTCTATAAACCCAAGGAAACATTCATTTCAGTTCATAACATGAGGATTATAGAACCATATGCACAAAAATTAGCAGAACACAAATCTGAACTGAATTATGAGCCTACAAAGTTATAAACGAGTAGCATATGACATCTATCTTCAATACACCAAAAGTGAACTCATTTTTTAACATCAGTATTACATCAGTAATACATCATCATACTCTGTTCAGGAGACCATTGTCATTTAGTTGTGACCACTGAAGTGTGCATGTGTACCTTATCCCCATGAACATGCCTTGCTGTAGGCATAATAGAGCTCCTGTCATCTCGACGCACAAAGGGCCGACCAGAATATGGATAATGTGGAGCAAATGTTGCTGAAGCATCAGGCAAAAAGTGTGTGAATTCCTCGAGCAAATCTTGATGATTCTGAAAGAGGGCTGCCACCTAGAAACATACACAGCCACGATTGTTTCAGTTGTTCATATTTGTTGCCACAACACTAATTGAAGGTGAAATACCTCTTGGTAGACCTCATGAATTGACTTATTCTCCCTTCGATACATATTCAGGATATCTAAGAATGACTTGTAAACATGATCATCATTCTGGAAACGATTCTGCAGCACATAAAATGCAACAAGTCAGTGCCAACAGTAGCCCTAGCAGAAAACAATTCTAGGATTAAACTAGTTACTGCATATATACCTTAATTTTGTTAACGAAATTGATTGCTTCCTCAAATTCGACTGGTTTCTTTTCTTCTGGTAACTTAATCTCATATCCCTTTGGCAAGAAGGTGTTAAAGCCCAAGATCAGATCCCGATGCCCCTTAAATAATTCCTTCACCCTCATGATAACCCCATTTGTGTCAATCCTGCAAGGTGTTCCAAACAAAGAAGCAACAAACACGTCTATCAGAGAAGGGAAAAAAACAACTTCGAAATGATATGTGATAGAGAGAGGAGATCAAGGTGAACCTCTGGCTCTTGAAATCTTTCATGACTTCAAGAAATTCATCATATTTTTCCCTTTTGTCTTGAAATATATCTTTCACAGCCTTCAGATAAGCTAGAGCATCATTAGTTGTGAGTTTGGGTGTACTACCAGTTGCCGGTGCTGGAGCCATATGGGTTTGCCCGGACCTGTACAAAAACGACCAAAATCCATTGAACGACGACAGATCCAAGCGTCCACCGTATCTTTCCAAGTAAAAGATGAGGACCAAAAAAGGAAAGAAATAAAGGGTATGATTTTTCTCTTTTTTTATCTCCTTCAAAATTTTCTTACAAGAAATAATGATCCCAGCCAACAAATTAATATCACTGAATGACCAGAGCCGGGGAAAAAGATCCTAAATAGATGGTCACTTGAAGGTAGCTTCCAGAGGGGAAAAATCCCATATCAACGATGAATTTGATAAAATATAAAATAAAATTTATAAATTTTTCATATAACCTCTCTCTCTCTCTC